GGGCTTATCCCCCTTTGGCATTGAAAACCCCCTCCTAAACGCGCGTAATGTATCAAGAAAACATCTCCAACCCCATGGGTAGTTGTTGAAGGCATCAATATCATCAACAACCTCCAAATGAAAAATGTCAATCGATGTCTTCTTGTGATGACACCGGAGTATGCTCTCGATGATAAGCACCAATCCTAACTTCAACCTATCAGACATCCGATCACATCTCCTTAATGCATCTCCTAGCTGCGCTAGAGTAACCGTCGTCTGTCCATGAAAATATTTGTTCAACAGCCTCCTGTTCCTCGGAACACAGGCCCTCGCCTCTGCATCATCCGTACATCGTAGTCCAGTGACGAGAGCAAACTCAAATATAGAGAATGTGGCTACCTTGCCCCCAAGATCAAAATGGAGGGTGTCTCCGTCAACTGGCTTCAGCAAGCGACATAACAGGGCATCCAGCAGCTGCCCAGACCACTGTACATCACGCAACGAATACAATGGCCATAAGCATGATCGACGTAATATATCTGCGTGATCGTCGTCCAGCAAATCCAATACCAAAGCGAAGCTGGTAAAGTTACAATTCGAGGTAACTTTACCAGGGATCTGTCTGACAGCGTCGTCCAGATGATATTCCATCCTGCAAAATTTCGAATATTAGAACCCTATGCAAATAACGTTCGATAAACAAAAATATTAAAAAAATATACTAACACACTGCTACTAAATGCAATAACCAACCGATAACGGAATAAACAAAATGAACGTAAATTACTATTTTCCATATACTTAATTTACTAATTTGATCGTTTATTTTAATATTTTAATTGCTTATTTTAATTATTTATCTAACACTAAATTAACTTTTTCATTTTTAATTAATGTTTAAACACTTATTTTAATTCTTTACGCATATCTCTTATTTCATATTTACAAATTTATTTTAATTGCTTCGTAAAAAATTAATATAATTGACATTTTCATATCCTAATTTAATTGTTTATTTTTATTATTTCACAAATGTTTATATATTTATTTAAATTCTTTATGCATATTACTTATTTAACATGTAATTAATTATTTTAATTATTTTAATAACACTTATTTTGATCGTTTATTTTAATATTTTAATTATTTTTCTAACACTTAATTTACTTTTTCATTTTTTATGAATGTTTAAATGCTTATTTTAATTATTTACGCATAATGCTTATTTCATATTTACAAATTTATTTTAATTGCTTTGCAAAAACTTAATTTGATTAATATTTTAATTTTCAAATTTAATTGCGTATTTTTATTGTTTTACAAATGCTTAAATATGTATTTAAATTATATATATATATATATATATATATATATATAAATATTTCTTTTAATAATTTTACTAACACTTATTTTGATATTTTAATTGCTTATTTTAATTTTTTTTCTAACAGTTAATTTACTTATTTATTTTTAATGAAGTTTTAAAACTTATTTTAATTATTAATGTATAATTATGTATTTAAATTCTTTATATATATCTTATTTAATATTTCATTTTTTAAAATTAATTTAGTAACACTTATTTTTAAATGCTTATTTTAATATTTTAATTATTTTTCTAACACTTAATTTAGTTTTTTAATTTTAATGAATGTTTAAATACTAATTTTAATTCTTTACGCATAATGCTTATTTCATATTTACAAATTTATTTTAATTGCTTTTCAAAAAATTAATTTTTTTGCTAATTTACTTTTCAAATTTAATTGCTTATTTTTATTATTTTACAAATGTTTAAATATTTTTTTAAATTCTTTAGATATATTAATTATTTAATATTATATTATTTCTTTTAATTTTTTTACTATTACTTAATATAAAATAATTAATTAATCTAAATTAGCAACTAATAAATATTTCGATAAATAATATAACATTTACATCTTATATTTACTAATAATTTTAAATACATAATAAACATTCAAATTAAGCAATTCAAATAAATAATTACATATTAGAGAACACAATATAAACCATTAATAATTATTTAATTAACTTCAATAATTACCGGAAAAAAAAAGAAAAAAAAACCCAAGGCTTAACCGACGGCCCAGTCAACTGGGTCAACTGGGCCGACCGGCCCAGCTTCCCAGTTGACTGACTGGGCGCCCAGGTGCCCAACTCAACCCAATTGACTGGGAAAGGGCGCCCAGACGGCGTGCCCGGTCGCCCAACCTTGCATCCAGACCATTTCCGGTCGAGGAGATCGTCGGAAAACTCCATTTCCGGCGATCTCCACTCCTTCCCAAGCAATAACAACCCAAAATTTCACATTTACACAAGGATTTCTCAACAAATATGTCTAAAATCATACTTTTTTCCAAAAATAAAAATATAAACATGATTTTTTTTGTATAAATTTCTTACCTTCTTCAGAGGGAAATGGCCAAATGGGTCTCCTGTTTTTCCTTATTTGTCGGTGACTGGGTCGACTGTGCTACAGTATTTTCCCGTTTCGGCTTCTGCTTCTTCTTCAAGTGAGGGTAAAATTGGGTTTGTCTTCATTTTTTTTGGTTTTCACTGTTTTTAATAATTTTGCCTTTTTTTTTTCATTGGTCAAAGGCCATTTTGGAAAACTGGCCGGGTCAACCGGCCAACAGCCACTAATTCCTCTAATTGTGCTTTATGCCCATTGCTAAGCAAAGTATCGATACATCGGCCAATAGAAAGAATAGTATTGGTACTTTATGAAGAATTATTGAATGATTTTTCCATCATACACCTGAAACGTTGCTTGCATAACTTTCTTTGGGGAACTTGGTACATTTTGTGATCTATTGTTGTTACATTATGAGAATGTTTTTTTGTTACCTTTAAGGCATGGAATGTATCCTAATACGAAAAGAAGATGCTTTGGAACTTTATTGCAATGATGTTCATAGTTATGTACACAAGATCATTACTTGATGACCTTTAACGCACTCAACCCTTGCATTGTAGGCAGGGGCTGAGCTAGGGGATAAAAAAAAGGAATAATAATAATAATAATAATAATAATAATAATAATAAATAAATAAATAAATAAATAAATTATGCTGGGCTAATACATTTTGACTAAAAAGATCTAGGTGGGCTTGGGGCGAGATTAAAGCCCCCTCTCTCCGTACTTGATTGTAGGTGACCATGATGAACAAAGAGCTTGTTCGAAGTTTTGCTAGTTAGGTGCGCCTCTAACCAATTTTGAGCTTCAACATGTCATGGTCACTTTATGTGGGTTCAATCTTTGATATGATATGTGACGAGAATTGTGTATATATCATGTTGTAGTCATTTTATTTGTATGCTTCATGAAATAATGTGTTCATTTGAAAAATATATGTAATCGAACCCTTTATATACTTGTATGAAAATGAATAATGCAGTTGGATACAAAATAGAATTTATGAAAATGGATAAGACAAATGGTATTATTTCAGTGTAAGGAATTATAAGTTAAACTTCTTTAGTTAGCTCCATTGAGCTGAGTTTATTGTACATGCCAACTTGAGCGAGTCAAATAATGTGAGATCGAATGGATCAAGTTAACTTAGTATGTGCCAAAAAGATTCTATATTATGATATTATCAGCTTCACCGGCTTAGCTTGGTTAACTTGACTTTGATTCAACAGATTATATCTTAAAATGTCAACCAACTTTATTAAACGGAGAGGCTTTTGATGTTCTTTTCAGTCAAGAATTGGGCCTTAATCACGGCATTTTTCTCATATTTTTCTTCGTGGTCATGATTCGATATTTTGGTATAACAAAAGTAGAAGTACCACACCAATTTATCCTGAATTTGACAGTTAAACTCTATTCCAGCAAAAATTATGTAGGAAAGATTACTCAATGAATGGTAAAAAAAACTCAAGACCTCTCATTCTTATTACATTTTCAACAAGAAAAACGAAAAATCTAATCCAAGTTCATATTCAAACCATGTCATTCGTTACCCTTTAATATTTTTGGAACTGTTGTATTGATTTAAATTAAAGATCACGATTATTTGTTAAATAAGTATGTCAAATTTATGAGTAGAGAAATGGTCCCAAATATGTTCAATAAAATATTATGTAGTTTGTTTTTGAGTTGTAAAATATTATTTTGAGTTTCGAGTTTTATATTAAGTACCTCAACTCAATAATAAGTTTAAGGCTCGTTTGATAAGATTTTGAAAAAGTCAAAAATTATTTTAAGGTTAAAAATATTATAAAAGAGGGAAAAAAAGAAAAGAATATAAGAATCAAAAGTCAAGTATATCTTTTATTGAGAATTCGGACCCATATTTATAGGGTAAAAAATAAGAGTTACAATTGGAATGCAATAGATCTTTTAAAAAAGATAACAATTATCTATGTATCTTGATAACACTAAAGCCCCGTTTCATCCCCATTAAGTTCCATTTTGTTTCTCTCTTCTATCTACAATCACACAATTTTCAATAAAATAATATTACACGTAAATCGAAAAATCTTCCTTCTTTTTCAACCATTCATTTTTTAAAAAAAAAATACTATTTCACTAATTTTCATTTCAAAAAATGGGTGCCAAATGGGGTATTAAATAATCATTGATAATTATCTTATTCTTTTACAACAAAGAGTTATTTTAAAAGTTTGAATAATTTTTTATAATTTTTTAATCCGATAGAGAGTAAAAAAGGAGGGGAAAAAAAACTTTTTATTTGTACCCACATAAATCTATCAAATATAAAACTTCCAATTATCAATATGAATTATTTTAGTTGTACAATCTGACTTGATAACATAATCACGGGAAGGGGGATTTACAATTTTTTTATTCAGCATGGCTCCGGCTTCGCGTGGTTAATTATCAATGGGGATTGTTGTACATGTAACATAATTTTACCATATATCTTAGTCCCCAAGAAACATATAGACTAAACGTATGAAAAATTCTAAGTTTCTTCCTATAATAATCAATTAAATGACGACTCACACAGAGACCTTCAATGGGTATGGGAAAATTGAGGATAGGTGGGGCATGGAGTGGAGTACTGGAAGTAGAACTTGATGAATGGATAGTGGCCACTTTGAGAGAAGAAGTCGCGAAGAAATCAAGCTTAGTTGGGCCACAGTGCATAAACCTGATATCTGCAGGCAGAGTTTTGAGAGATGGTGATGGTACTGAGAAATTGAGTCAATTGGGTGTAAAAAATAATGCCAAGATTTTGGCTTCAAAGGTTTCGACTGATCAAGAAGGGAAGTCTCTTAAGGAGGAGTTTTTAGCTGAGGAGCGTTCGAAGAGACTCTCCCGGCTCAAGTTCGTGCCTCCTTATATTCTTAATCTTTTTAATCCCACGTGATGAATCTATTTATATATATGTTATCTGATTATGCGTTTTCGTTTTAGTTTTGTGGAAGTTGAATGTGATTAAAATTTGGGTCTTAGGTGGATTGTCTGTTTAATTACGTGATCAAATTTAATTATGATTTATACACCGTCAAGTTTATAATTATTTTTCTTCTAAGAGTAGAATTTGAAGGCAGTTATCGGTTCTTGGTAAATCGAATTATCAAAGTCAATTCTGATGTGCATGGCTTCCTGCGTGGGTCTATAGGTGAATTTTTTTGTTGGATCCCCCCCTTCTCTTTCCTTTTTATTCTGGTTTTGAGTATGATGATTTTGCTGTATGCTGTGGATTTTTGTTTGTCAATTGTGGACTTTGGAGTATTGTCGGCATTTTTAGGTACTTAACCTTGCACGCGGATAGTAAATTGAACTTTTATTCATGTCGTTTTTTGGTACAATGAAATTTTCATGATCCAAGTGAATGATAGATATTGTTTTGATATTTTGGTTCTGAAAATGGTCTATGCAATGAGTTTATGCATACGAGGAGGAGGAGGAAAGGGGTGGTGGTGAATGGCATTTTTTGACATCTCTGTGCACCCCCTTTTCAGGCGGTAGGTATGGATATCTTCAAGATAAAGACAGCTATTTTGAATTGAAAGTCATGACTGATTTGTTGTACTTCTAGTAAACTGTGACTCGACTTGATTAATTAATTCATTTAACAACTTATGGCGTTTACTTCATGTTAATATTGAACGCAAAGTAGATTAGGATGGTGATAAAATTTGCAGATTGCAACTGTTTTATGAGTCCCGTGCTTCATTGTAGACATGTTATTATGCATGGCTTCTTTAGTTGGTAACATGACTGGAATTACAGGGCTGCAGCCACTTCACTGGCCAGTAGACATGCAGATGGTTCATTACCAGTTGAAGACTTCAACCTGGAGCTGGAAAATCAGAGTGGAGAGAAAGTGCAATTGGGATCTGAGACTGACCAACGGTATGATTTATTATATTTTAATGTGGACAATCATGCTACATGTATATCCCCGTTTATACCCTGTCTTACAAAATTTACGCTTGGCACCATCTCACACCATCTTCTACAAAAAACACTTTTCATCTAACTGCTCATCTTCAACCACGTACACATCTGTAAGCCAGGGTAGCCATTTTCTGTACAAAACTACAAATGGCTTTAACCCTAATGTGGAATGCATAATGTTTCTGTGGTCAAATACTTATGGATGCAAGGGATTAAATTGTCAATTCACAGGGTGGTAATGATGGGACTCATGCTTCATGCAAATGCAAAAGCACTGATAAAAAGGCAACGATACAAAGATGCACTAGAAGTGCTCACCATAGGAGAGGTTAGTGTCTAAAATACTTCATGCAAGACAATAATTGATGAAATTTTCAGACATTCAAAATTATAACGCTTGTAAAAAGTATGTATGTTGTTTTCTTTAGCTTGATTTGGCATATTATGGGTATTCCTAAATTGGGATGAAAATACTAATTCTGCTTGCTTGAGCATTTTGTGGCAAACTGTAATTTGACTGTGCTTTTCATTGTGAATTTATGTATGTCTCTATAAGGCTTTTATTTATGCTAAAATGTTGAAGGGCATATATTAATTTCATCACCATCAAAAATTTTCCAGGCTTTCTTTTTTATGATGTGTACGAGGGAATATGAGCATGTTTGGGAGTGCTTAGAAGCTCCTTCCCAAACACACTCTTATCTCTTTTGACCTGTGCCTGCAATGCTTTCAATTATCTTTACTTTTCCTTTTTCTTTCCCTAATTTCTTCTAGAAATTTATAATTTGTATACCATATGGTTCCTACTTAAATGAGCTTTATTTCTTACCTACAGGAGGCATTCTCTCTGTGCAATCACAAGGTCATTGAGGTGAGAAATTGTTTCTTAAATAGAATGTTTGTATAGAGAATTTTCTCTCCTTTTCTTGAAATTTGAAGTCAAACCTTTTCATTATCAGCAGTTTCGCTTGTGGTAAGGTTGAAACTGAATGAAATTTCAAGTCATAAACTCACCTCAATTATATAATAGATTTGCTAAACCAGATATAGTAAATATCTCTTTTATTGTTGATCTTTTCGATATTACATCTTTAGCGTTGCAGAAAGCATCAATTGAATGTAGATAAGGCTATAAGCTGCTCTTAAAGTTAACCTCAACAATGAATAAATTACCTATTATGAATGGCTGGAAATAGATGAGGAATCATTTTGCTTCATCATATAGAAGAGCGGCGACACCTTAATGCACATTGTTAATGGCTTCATCCCATTTTGGATTCCAGACTATTTTGTATTGAGCCACTAAATTATACTCTGCAACTGTCTTATGCTTTCTCAACTTTGTGTTTGGACTTCTAGATGGTTGACAACGTTTCAATTTTACAAATAGACATGGTTTGGTGCTATTTTATGCTCCATGATATCAGTTGGCTTTCAGTAGCTGGTATTCGCCTTACAAAAGCTAGAGAAGGGATTGAGCATGCTCATGGGAAAGAATCTAGTCGCATGAGGGCTCTCCAAGGAGGCCGCTGTCCAGAGCTTGCCCTGTGAATATTCTTATTTGAGCCGTCTGTTACTTTTTGTTCTTTGCTGTTAAGAACTGTCCTGGTGTACTGCATTGAGCTAACAAAATTTTGTCATTCATAATTAGGTACTTGAGGCTGCAGCTGTTGGAAGGAGTGATTGCATATCACAATGGACAGTTGCAAAAGTCCAAGGAAGCCCTGACTGCTGTACAAGCTAAATACACCCAGGTTACTTGGCTTAAACTTTGTGCGAGTGATACCCCACATATGCTGTTGTGCAATAATAATAGTTAAATACGAGAATTCATTTTGTGGAAATTATAAGAAAATATGTTTTTCTAATATTGTTTTGTTTCCCCTTCTTGTCAAGGGCCATGGTTTTTGGTTTGCCAGATTTTCTTGATTTTTTTCTTTCAATTTCCTCCCAATTTTTATCTCCTTTCATAATAATCATCTTGCTTCTCCAACAGCTTCAAGTTACAGACGAAACATTGTCGCTACTAATGAGCATGGGCTACAAAGCACGTGATGCAAAGAGGGCCCTTCGCATGAGCAATCAGGATGTTGGTAGCGCTGTTGATTTTCTTGTTGAGGAGAAGGCAAAGAAGGAGCAAAAACGTGAGGAGGATCATAGACGACAACAAGAGATTCTGTGTGTTTTATATTTTGGCATTGACCTCGTCGTCTTTTATTCGTCCATTTTCATAACAGCAAGACCTTTACAAAATATTCAATTACAGGGAGCAGAAGAAATATGGAATGACTCCTCTTCGAAAACCTGTGGATCTACAAAAACTAAATGAATTGGTCTCTATTGGGTAAGTAGGTCCCGTCACACACGGCTTTCATGATCTATTTATAGTTTATATCTATTGTATGGGGTTCCGTCTCTGCACTAGTAGCATATTTGGTAAGTAGTAATGGAGAGTACTGGATGCTAATATGAACAAGAGTTTAGCCTAGTAGCATGTTTGGTACTGAGTAGTGAGTCCCAAAGATGCATGTGCTGATGTGCTGTAGTCGATCAGGAAATAGTTTCTTCAATGATGTGTGGCGCTGGACCAATTGGCATATGTCGACTTTTTATACAATTTTTTTTACTTCCCTTGAACTCAGATCTATTTTCTGAAATATGCTGATAGTTATTTTTTTTTTCCTCTTGAAATTTGAAGGTTTGAGAAAGAACTTGCTGCTGAAGCCCTTCGAAAAAATGAAAATGATACTCAGAAGGCTCTGGATGACTTAACGAACCCCGAAACAAATTCGGTGATGCAGGTAAATGTGCATGAATACCTTTTTTTATTGGATTTATTTGTAAAATTCAATCATTCTAATGTTCATTTTGCAGATTGATGTTGAATGAAGGAAAAAGAAAAGGTTGCTTCGAGCAATACCCACAGCGAATGAAGAACTTGTATCCATGGGTTTCCCTCGAGCAATAGGTACGTAATAAGCCACCGGTGCTGCTACTTTTCACACATTTATCAATTCCCCTCACTAACTGATAAGTTTATTCCAAATTTCCCACAATTTTTCTTAGAATTACAAGCTTACCGAAATTTTTGATAGTCTATGTTGGGTCGAGCATTAAATGTGTGAAAGTACACTTCTCTGCACTAGGCCTCTGACTTGAACAAATAGAACTAGATTGATATATTGTTCAAGTAGAACACACAGAATGACATTTACTCCTTGAGTTGAGATGAAAATTTATGTTCATTATGTTTCATGTCTAAGTCGGGCTTTTTATCATTTCATTTCTGTATCGTTTCTTTTGTTACCTTGCAATAGAAAATATGTAACTTGAGACCCACATGCTATATTGGATTTGTTCTTGAACACAGTAAAAATCATGGAAAAAGTTGTAGTTTTGACAAGTTGTTCGAAAGTATTAGGTACACCATTGAAGATATTCTTCTAGGTCTTCACTTTTTGTTTTGTTTTTTGGTCTTGTAGTGGATGCAGCTCTTCGCTGGTTTGGTACACAAGAACAAGCACTAAACCATTTACTTGGACAACCCAATGCAAATGCAGTAGTAGCTGGTGCAAATCCTTCAGTTCAATCGCTAAACATCTATGGTTTAGATGCTGGGCAAGGCTTAGAAACGAGTTTGGAAGAAGACGGTGGTGGTCCATCAAATAGGGAGGAAGTCGAGGATCGAGATGCAGAAATGGAGGATGAACTGACTGGGGAATTGCAGAAAGGAGATGCGTATTCAGATTATGACATTGATATTACCCTGGAAGGTGAAGCTATAAATGAGTATTTGGCTAAACTTGCTGGCTGAGAAATTTGATGACGCTATAGATTCATATTTATTAACTTGTATTGAACTTCTCCTTTGAATTTACAACTATTGTCTTCTTGGTTTAGTGGTTGGCTAAAGTTAGAAGAAATATGACCCAATGGAATTCTCTGAGGGGTATATTTATACATCAGTAGCACATGTTATAACTTGTTCTTGATCTCTCTTCTTTCAAGATCGTCGACACCAGCAAAATGTATACTTGTTTCATTCGATTTTTCTTGCACAACTTTCTTAAGCAAATGAAACGCTGGCACGAACCCCACATAAAAAGTAAGAAACACATATACAAGAGAATTAAAACAAAAAGTTGTATGTGGTAATTTATAGCCTTCAGAATTAAAACAAGAAATATAGTTCAAATACAATTGTCTTCTCGAATTTTAACCCTAAAATTTCCAAGCTATAAGCAAACGTTTGGCAATGGTGTTTGGTAGTAAGACTGAGCTCGAGGTGTAAAAGAGAGTTGGGCTGGGCTGCCACGAGATTGGCTAGGCATGCCCACCTTAGCTCGCAAAGCTGGTCAATGCAGCTGTAATGGTTGAAAATAGAAGTCCAACCTCCTAATGATTCATGTCGTGAAGTGTTCAAGTGTAAAATTGAGCCCATTGGCAAAAATTAAACATTAGTAGGTTAATCTAATATTGGCTGTCTACATCCAATTCTCAAAAGTGTGGTAACTGTGATTTCGAATAAATACATTATCCGGTCATCTGTAGGATTGGCATATTTCCCCAAAAGATTACATTTTATGTAGCACTTTGCTCCGAATACAGAAGAGGTTGATACTCAGAATCAACAGTGTGCATTTCTATGTTTCCATCTTGAGAACCTTCTTCCTTGATCTCTGGTTCCTTCTCATCTTTTGGGAGAGCATTACAGTGAATTGTGTGCGACATTGGCCTTTCTTCATGGAATAATTTGCACAAGGATACGACAACTTCAATGTGGTTATAACTTATCAAATCATCATAGACATGTAAGTAGGGGGGAGAGAGACTTACGGGTGCTTGCAAAGCGTTGGGCATTGGAATGTGAGTGCATACTTGCACGCTGATAACTCGGTGAAAGAACTTATCATAGCTCTGGGCTCTAAGCAAACAAATCTCACCTGAAAAATTAAAATTGAGAAGTTAGAATCATTACAATTATTAAGGAAGGGAAGACGTATATAAAGTGGAACACTTCATACCTCTGTTTCCTGAGGTTGATTTGTTAAATCACAGAGAGTACCATTTGTAAACAGATGAGAATAATACCTGAATGTCAAGATAATAAAATGTAACTTTCATATCTATCCAACAGTTCTTCTCTATCAGTTTGTAAAGCACTAGTCCTTTTCAATGCTATCTGTTTAACCCGTACAGCTGAAATTCATACCTTTGAGAGGCATCTTTTGAACGAGGATCTTTCAGCGTTGATATGTCAGAAAGATTCTGATTGCTAGTTTCTGTAGCTTTAGCATCATACATGCCCAAGATAAATTCTTGAGCCAACTACCAGATATTAGAGTTCCCGTATCATTTATACCAGTATTAAAGTATTAACAGTTAGGAAGAAATACATGATCAGTCTTAGAATCTCTAGACTAATATCAATTTCTGAGTAATTTCTTGATATAATAAATCAAATAAGTAGAATAAATTGCCCATTGTGGTTCTGATCACAAGATTTTATAGAAGTTATTCCTGGATCACAGTTACTCAGTACTGTGATAACATTTTTCCGAATTTCTATATTGACAACATACCGCAGCAGGCATAGTATTCAGAAAAACTTGAGCAGCAAGGATAAATCCAATATCTAAAGCATGTTCCGTAAAGCAATCTATACTCTTGTAAGTTTAGGAAAGTTACCTTATCATTCTCAAAATGAAGTTACCGCACCTTATTCTGATAACAAAATTCATATGACCACCATCCTTCTTGCTGCATTACATTTTCTTGGCAAGGTAAGCATATATACGGGCAACATCATAAAAGAGCCAAGATAAAGTTAAAAATAAAGAGTAACCAAATTTCACAAGGATATCAACAAGACAGCTTATATATCAGTAGTTCCCAAAGAAATAAGGAAATTTCTAATCATCACTAAAGGATATAAGGTGGTCCAGTTTGTTTCAATGTTTTCCTGTTTCTTTATTTTGATGGTTGAGAATCATTACCCTTATAAAGCAGCAACCCTTAAGAACTTCAAGCAGCTCATCTGGAGTCTTCAATTGGAAATGCTCCTCAGATTCCACAATCATACTGCTAATATTCTGTTCAGCAACTAGCATTCTGCCCTTGGATTGCTCCACTTTAGGCAAAAAACAGAGAAACTTTTCTCCTTTTTTGTTGGGCATAACCATAGACTCTTGATCATCATCCTGCAAAATAGAAAATCACACACATCAATTTTATCGGCACATGGAAACAGTTAAAATACCTAAGACCCAAGCACCACGGATGCCATGCAGGAACTTTACTCTTCCCTCCAAAAGCTATCCAGTCAAGATTCTCTACAGTTTACAAAAGCGTAACTAGATTATGAAAGATGTTATTTACGTATTCCTTGAATCTGATAAGTGGAGACTATTTATGGAATGCTTGGTATGCTGGATGGGACACTGGAGATGATAAGGAAAAAAACAATTGAAATAATATCCCTTGTCCCATGCAGTACTATGCACTACAGAATATCAAACACATCCTTAAGGACACAAATACATGCCCAAAATAGGGCACCAGGGATGTTCATACCACATTCACAAAACTACAATGCAACTCTATATATGAAAAGAATGCTTTGCTCATGTAGGTTTATTTCTAGTCAAAGCCTACTTTGATCTCTTATTTGTGTCCCTCATGATATAAGGATTAAGATAGAGAATTTCAAATGCTTCTCCAAGATCCCCTGTGGTTGATTTAATAAATAAAACAGTGGATTTCATATCCTCTCTCTCTCTCTCTCTCTCTCTCTCTCTCACACACACACACACACACACACACAAAACAAACAAACTAACATCACAACAAATATCACTTGATATCTTTTAAGGATGGAGGTCTGGGGACAGGCAGCGATAATAGAGTGAATATCAGAAGGCAAGAACACCATGTTTCAAGGAAAATTGTTTTAGAGATTGATTAAAGATTAGGTGGGGGCAAAGCTAAGACTAAGTCAAGGTAGCGCAGATGACTGTTCACTGAGTTTGGGGTAGGTTTTCACCAAGAAGGTTTATCGAAGATTGGATTGCTTCTGAGGTGATAAGTAGCTTGTTTGTGGGGGATGGGAGTGGGTCACATAGGAATGTGAGAGGGAAAGTATGAACTCGGTAGCCCCTTTGCATATTACTATGTTACTCAAATAATTGATTTCAAAACAAGTAGAATTGAAATGAATGGATATCAAATCCTTCCTCTGTTCCAAATTCACCAATACAACTCAATTTTACAATTGCCTTTCCTTCTTCTAAATATAAAATAAAGTGAAATGTGCATATAGAAAACAAGCATTCTAAATCAAGTCCTAGAAGGAGCACCAAAAAGACCAAATATAGCAACAAGATAACAACAAACTAAGCATAGTCCAATAAATTTTGGATTGGCTACATAAATCTTTTTTTGCGACTCTATATGCTTTTCAGATAGATCTAATGGAAGAGCAACTAGATCATTAGCAACCACAATAGATGGTGTTAATTATAGCCTAAACCTCCCTCATCTACCCCATTCTACTGAAATTATGCAACTCTTGTGGAGATGAGCTTCTCCGAGACTACACAAAGCAAGTCCTAACCACCTAAGTTATCATTCCCTTAATTTATCCTCAACTAGTACTACCTCTATTTGTTGGCTTTGTATTCTCATTTTTATCTTATCCTTCTTAATATACAGACACTTCCATCTTAGCATCCTCATTTCCTATAAATTCTTCAACAACATATGAACAAGAAGTTGTGAAATAGTAACCATGTCCTATGTTAAAGAGTAATTAATGTCTCATGAGAATTCTAGATTTTTTGTTAAGACGAGGTAGAATGTCCAAAAAGTGCGCTCATGTCTCGATATATTCTTGAAGTTGGAGATGGGATGACTACAAACTAAATTGACCTGATCCTCAACTTTTCCCATTTCTCCATAAAAGATTAACAAACGGTATACTAAAAGGGGTAAAATGTCCACATGTATAACGAAAGGTCTCAAAAGAGAAGATTGTGCTTATGTTCTCTTCCTTTCCTCCCTTCAAGAAATCATTACATATGAGGATTTGAAACAGGACACAATTGCAGTGATATGATATTTAGTGACTTGCTCAGTATTTTTTATTCAGTTTCTAACTCTGTGTTTGATACATGTACTGCAAAGTTCAGAAGAGAAAATTGTGCTTATCTTCTTTTACTTTCTAAACCCTCTTTAGAATCATTAAATATAATAATTCAAAAAAGGACCGAATCACTGCGATAATTAGCTAATTCCTCAATACTCTTTTATGTTCAAAATTCATGTTCAATATCTACCACAAGGTAAGAGTTAATAAAACTGATAGCATAGACAAGAGAATCATAATCTGTAACTAGTGTATTATTGGCTTCTAGAAAACAGACGCAAAACCAAATGTAAGTTGCTTAGGGCCAAGTGTCCAGAAGCTTTAATTAATCTTGAATGTTGAGATTCCATCAGTTCCAATTAGCACAAATGCGCGAACAACCAAACAAGAATATTCAACAACTAATATATCACATACAGGATGGAAAGGCGAGTCTTCTGCATGGAATTCAATTTTGAACTTCGGCTCTCTAGAGCTCAGACCAAAGGTTTCACCTAAAATGAAAAGCAAGATGGCATAAAAATGTGTATAAGCTCAAAGAATGATGAATTAAGAACTTAAAAGGCAAACTTTTTAACTACAACAAATGTGCAGAAGACCAAGCCAAAATGAATAATACCTCATTCACATGATATAATGAAGATAAGAATGACAGTTAACAGGAACATCCATTTGCCAGTTATCACATTTATATTCCATTAGTAACTTGTACAATATGAGCATCTGAACAATATATTAGTCACCTAAGTTATAAGAAACCTAAGAGCATATATGGGAATTGTTTATAAATAGTTTAAATTATAAATACATGGAAATAAGTGGTGGATTAAGTGAGTGGTACTTACGGATCTTTCGTAATGTGTGGATAAAAAGTTATTTGATTGTATATAAACAGTTTATAAATATGAACCAACCTAAATAATTTCTTAAGCTGAAATATATATAAGATCAGTCCTAAAATAGTTACCGTTAATTCAAACACAAATATCTTGATCTTAACCTTAACTAATAAACACCTAGTCATGATCAATAGCATTACTGCTTATTCTTTGGTCTTGATAATGCCTATATATTCTATCAAAAAAATTCATTACTGAGACTTACAACTTTATGCTCTACTGCATTTGAACAAAGAATTCCATCACTCCCTATTATGTTACCAAACCAGCACTCTTGAATGGAAAATTGTTTCCTTCAATGAACTTAAATGTTCCATGTGGTCAATACATTAAATGTTCATAACATTTTGCAGTCTCCGCTGTACAAGAATCTAGATGAAACTAACAGCAATCAAAATATAAGTCAAGCTTGAATTTTTACACAGCTAGCACTTCCACATTTCAACTAATCCTTTTTTCAATGCCCTATAATATAAATACTTTAAATTTTTCGAGTGTACACAAATTTAAGCAAAAAGTGATAATATACCTGTATGAATCGGGATGATCTGATCGGAAAAGACAACATCATACAAGAGGTCAATGGCGAAAAGTAGGGCCCACCACTTCCATGTTAATCTCATCTTAGTTTTTTTATTTTCTTCTTTGTAAACCCTAAATTTGAACAAGAACGGAGATCATTCAGCAATGGCGTCTTATGTAGAGAAAATAACATGCTGTATGCGACCTGGGTCTTTATCTTTCAACGATATTGTGAAAACGTCCTTACCTATTATTTTTTAACATTTTCACCCTTATTTTCACCTTTCATTATGAAAAGATGATTTTTCATCCAATTTTTCAATAAAAAAATATAAATAACAAAAATACCTTCTTATTTAAATAAAAAAAATTAAAGAACTTTTTTAAATAAATCCAAATAAATTATTAAAAAGGTAATTAGTACAAAACATCAATACATTTCAATATTCATGTGCAAAACATCTTTACCTTTCATTTTTTAACATTTTCATCCTTATTTTCACATTACATTGAGACAATCATCATTTTCATTATTTTTCAATTAAAAGCTGTAAATTGGCGAATATACTCTCTTGATTAAATAACAAAATAAAAATTAAATTGCAACTATATTCCCAAATTAAAAAAAATAAAATAAATGTTAATTATTTATTTTAATTTTATTTGTACTTTTTTGAAAATTTTGGCAGTATAGTTGAATATTTGTTTTTAATTTTTCTTTTTTTTTTAATTCAAATAGAATGATATATTCGTTATTTTATAACTTTCAATTGAGAATCTTGATGAAAATGATTATTTCCACAAGAAGTTATGAAAATAATGATAAAATGCCTTATTTAAATAGTAGGGTTTATTTGTCATTTTATATTTTTTATTGACAAATTAGATGAAAATGACCTTTTCGGCAATGGAAAGTGAAAATATGGGTGAAAATGTCAAAAAATAAAATGTATAAACGTTTTATACAATAACATTGAAAGGTAAAAACATTTTGTGCTAATTACTCAATTGAAATTTTCCACTTCTAAATATATTGGGACAAAATCAGTAATAGAAAACGAAAGATTATTTTCCAATTAGAGAAAATTTTATATTTCTCATTACTAGCATATATTCGGCTCTAGTTTATAAAATATTTACCACCCTTAAGTTCTACTCACTTATTTCTATCTATTTATAAAATTTACCAAGCACAATTTTGGTTAGCAAAACATTTGATTACAACTGAAATGATTTTACAAAGTAAAAAATAAAAATTAGGTTCTTGGAGTATAAAAATGTACGAAGACAAGGACAAAAGTATGAGAGAGAGTAGATAAAATATATCAACTCGGCCTAGTCGAGATTGATTAGTAGGAGATGAATTTGATCAAATAGAGAGTTAAAGATGGTAAAAATAGAATTATGTTATTTGTACATAAAAAAATGTACAATTTTGTTGACATTCAAAGAGATGTAAAAATCTATACCATTGATGGTTTTAAATGTTGTTAAAATCAATGACAAAAATGTTGGTCACCTCACACGCTGTCAGCAAAGTTATCAACCAAATTGTACCTATAGTAAAAGCAATGAAAATAATCGCCTGGCTCGTCGTTGGGGTACTTTGTCTCAAACGAGTGGAATTCCCCCAATTATACAGATTATCGAGATGGTGGAGAGATAGAGTCGGGGAAAAATTCCTCGAGGTAGGTCGAGTATGTGGTGTGGATGAGAAATATGGTCTTAACCTTTAGTTATTTATATAATTATAATCTAAATCGTATTTACAAGAATAAAATATGATTTATATTACATGTATATTATGATGTCCATAAAGGTATTTATAATGTACCAAGTGACATAACATCATTGGAGGGTAGAAAAACAGTTCTTTCAACCTTCCAATCATGAAATTCAATGTATATATTATAGACACCATAATGTATATATAGAATTATCCATAAAATATTATTATGATAAAATGTTAATTACTTAATGGAAAAACGAGGTAGAGAATGGTGATCCTCGCACGGCTGCTTCTACGTGGAGATTAGGGAGGGCAAATGGCATTAAAATCCCTAACACAAAGGAAAGTGTAATAGCCAAAAATGAAATCAAGTTGATCGGAACAAACATTTTTAGCTAAGATTATCATCTGAAAAATTATTTACTAGCAATAGTGACATAACAAATTAATTAGTAGTTAATTTAATTCATAGGAATTATCATAAATTTATTCACCTATTAGCCCTTGTTTGAGTCCCATTATTTTGGAAAAATACATTTTTCTACAGTATTTTGATATCATTTCAACATACATTCTTCAATAAAATAATATTACACGCAAATTCAAAACTTTTTCTTATTTTTTAACCACACATTTCTCATCAATACACTATTAAAAAATTCATTCTTCTCAAAAAAATGAAGCTCAAACAAGGGCTTAGTGTTCATTTGACAAAGCTTTTATTTTGTCCCTTTTTTTTCAAAGAAGACATTTTAGACCAAATTCTTTTAAAGTTCTTATAATCTGACAAAACACTTTCAATAAATTATTCAAATATGTTTCAAAGTAACTTCTTAGGATCGATTTGACAATATTTTTGACAAATCAAAAACTATTTATGAGAAGTTTGCTTTTGAATTTGATTTGATAATTTTTTGAATATATTTTGTCCGATTAAAAGACCTTTCAAAGGAAACTAGCTTAAATTATTTTTCTCAGGAAGTTCTACTAGAAAATGAACAAATAAAAAATAAATCCCGCCTAATGGGTCCAATCTCTGAGCAACTTTTAACTTGCCAAAAGTCCTGTGAAAGTAGCGTCGTGTACAATGTCACTATTGCTAACGTTGTCTAATATATCATTTCTATGTATCTTATTCTTTTTTATTAAATAAGAAAAGCGGATTTAAAGCCTAAATTTCAGAGAAATAGTTCATGTCAGTACAACACAGCCAAAAATTAAAGCACCCTTTTTATGCTTTTCTTCTCTCTCCTTTCTTAACAAGTCATTTGAATAAGCGAATTAATTGACCAAAATGGTTACTAGTATGAATCATGAAATAAACAAACCAAATTCGATATAAAACAGCCACAGAAAGGTAATGAAAAATTGAACTCGAAAAAAGAAGCGATTAATTGAATTACAGAAGCCAATCTTGTGCGTTTACGGACAGAAAGATGGTCGAGAGAGAGAGAGAGAGAGAGAGAGAGAGAGAGAGAGGACATTTTTTCGGACCCTATAGCACAATATTATCACGATGCAGTTGCAGAACGGGTAGCATTTCGCCCTAAACCGATGCCCAAACCTAAAGGAGCAGAATCAGTTTTTCTACTGTGATTATGGCTATGGCTACGATGAGAAGAATGAACATGCCCATGATGTGCATTTTTATTGTCATTCACGTCGATTGCTACATGACCATTTCCATTCGTTTGATGAGCATGGCTGATATCGTTCAACAGGTTTGTATTCCGAGCCATTTGCAACATTGAAGTCTCTTCAGATTGACTCAATTCTTCATTGTACTCCACGTCTTCATTGTATCCATTTATCAAGAAATCTGAACAGTTTTTCTTGCAGCCATGATCATATGGGTATCTGAATCGGCCCCCAGCTCCTCTGAGATAATTGTAACGCATTGAATTCGCCATTTCGTTCGTAGTAATGTTTCGAGCAATCTGTAGAAGGGATAAAATGGCAAAAACCATTAATCACAAACAGAATAAGTCGCCAACTCCTCTTAAAAGTAACTAAATAGAGTGGCAAAAACTTGTTCAACACAGACGCTGACAAGTTGGCATATTACTTTTCATTACATGTTTATTTTATAATATCTTGGCAAAATGGACTACAAATGCAACTTAAACTAGGAGTAAATTTAAACAACAATGGTCGATCAAGTGCTGATAATCATGTTGTACGTTGATCCATGTTCTTAACATCGAATATTTGTGCATGGTATAGAAGCTATGTGCTATAGAAAAATGATTTACTTCTTCAGGGGAAATGAATATGTGAAAGAACATGTCAGATCATTGAATACCCCCTAGTGACATGTTTGGGATTGGTTTCTAATCTCACTTATTATGTTGGTACTGAGATATTGCTGGTATCTCTAAAGCTTTTGGCCAGTGTAATTCAATTAGATAGAGCAGTATGAATGAAACAAGTTGCGAGAATGACTTCGCTTTCGAAATACCATGAATGCATGAAGATGTGAATGACATAAAAAGGTGAAGGTTCTGGACATAGCAAGACAAACTGGAAACTTTCTGAGAGGAAATCAGACTTTAAAAAACACTTAGTGATGTCTATACATCCTCATCTTATCATAATGTATCACCAAAACATTGTATTCTTGGGTCATATTCTAGGCTAACGAATCATAGCTCAGAGATATATCACAGTATCACAGTATCTTCCTATTATTTCAAACCATAACTATAATTATGCATTTTCGGATAATTAACTGAAAAGAACCCAAATACAAAGAAAATAAAGATCCTGGAAGCAAACCTGAGAAGCCTGTACAACAGTTAAGACTGCCACACCAGATAAGAGGAAAAAGTCGGCAATCAAAAAGGATATAGCACCAACATGCTGATTTCCAGCATGGTTCAACCATGCACCAAAGGAAGATGGAGCCATTGGGTCAGTCAGCACTCCTGCAATGTTAAAAAAAAAATTTACAACGGATAATGGAACATGAAGAAAACAAAGGACGATGAAATTATAGCAACGTTTAAATATTTCCATGCAAAGACCAAGGAAAAATATATCTCACTTGTGAGAGTCACTCCTCCAGCAACCAGCATTGCCAGAACTTCCAGAAGAAGAAACAAAAAGAAATCCCACTTGTTTTTCTGTATCAAATGATAAAATTTCAATCAGACCATTATGGTAGGAAATTAATACCCATGAATTAACAGAGAAAACCACCAAGTGGGAAGGAGGAATGCAGAACAAATAGGAGACTGTATGAGCTGACTAATCGTCTATTCACAGTTTTTCTGTCTATTTCATAAAGATCAGCATCAGTTAACCATCTAACTCATCCTCCCGTCACTTGATTCACCCATTCTTTCTCCAGATACAAGGTATACCAGTTAGGAATCTAAGTGAGCCATGAAAGAAAGAGCAGATTATGTTTTTCCTTTCTTTTTACCTTAAAAAGTTGGGATGCGAAGAGTATGGAGAACCAACCAACTAATCTCTACTCAAATCCAAGTGGCATAAAGAGAGAGAGACATTTTTTTTCCCCCTTTACCATCCTTCAATGATTTGGACATATATGATTTCTCCGAGGTCATTTAATCAGGGCAAGAAGAAGAGGAAGAAGAAGAAAAAGAATAATAATACAGAATGATATGCAAATAAATGCCATATCACCTTGCCAATGCAATTAGATACCCAAGGGCAATGATGGTCAAACTGTTCAACACAACGATCACAAGTGGAACAATGCTTCGCACGTAGGGGCCGAACAATCTGATAAAGCACAGGTCAGATGAGACTAGAAGCAATACAACTTGAACATTCAGTTAGAATACAGCTTTCTTTCCCTTTTACATAGGTATACAGGATTTTGCACCTTGCAAGTTGAGCAAAGCTGAGACCAGTTCCCAGCAAGCAAAGCGGGATTATTTATTTCAATCTTCAGCAAAGGTTCCTAAACCAAAAATAAGGGTAAAATTTAAATAATGTTTAAAGTACACAATTAAATCTATGGAGTTCTATACCAGGCAAAGCAAATTAAGAGCTCTGATATGAAAGTCAGGTAAGATAGTATGCATGGGATTCTTAGAAAGAAATAAAAGAACGGGATTGATATAAAGTAGAGCTTTCCAGCATCACTGTAGATAAAAGACGAGCCAGTGATTTTTCTATGCTTGTGGAACCAATTTTATTTTTGAACAATGGAACTGTTGGATTAGATATAAACATAGCAATTAATTGGAAAATAGCTAATAAAACAGGTGGCAACTTACATCATCTTTAGTGTTTTGTGAGTCATGTACATTCATTCTGATGTACCCTGGATCCTTGCTACAAACAACACGGTCAAACAAGTTTAGACTCGTTAACAATAATAGTAATTCCAAACAAGTTCTAATGAGTTTAATCACAACTCTTAGCTGTAAGAAGCTCAAATAATAAATAACCAAGTTACATCTACATGCACATACATTGCATATTCATGGGGGAATGTGTTTCACAATTTGAAAATGTATATCCACATTTTCAATGCTTAGACAGAACAATTAAGTTAATGGCTGAAATCATCAACTGGCAGTGCATTCAACAGCAAAGTAAAATGGGAAACTACAAAAACATAGAATCATTTTACATTCTAAAACATCCTATGTAAGAACAATTTTAACATAACGAAATGATATGGAAAGAAAATACCAAGCTACAGGAATTCATCATGAAAGTTTGTAGAAATAGTAATAAACAATCAAAAATCATCTTTGACCAGGTATACCATATTATGATTAATAAGAAAATTCGAGAAAAATCCAACAGGGAACTCCATTTCTCAAACACAAAAATAACGAAAGCATCTTCACAAGTCCTATAGACATCTAAGCCGAAAGAAACAATGACTTTATGAATGCCAGGCACACATTTGAGTTACCTGCTGCACCTATAAAACAAAACTAGTCCCGAGGATGCCAAGAACACACCCATCCAAGCAAGAAGACCAAAGCCAGCTGTTAATTTTGGCAGGTTTGATGCTGCATCCAGAAACAAGTAACAAAGGTTCTCAAGTGTAATAGATCCACAATGCTAAATAAAAAAGAGAAGCAGAAAGTCAAGAGAAATACCCGTAACAGCTGAATGAATATATGTCACAAGTAACAAAAATATTATACACCAGAGTATTGGAGCAAGTCCTAATTTCGAGAGTTTGCCAAGGCGGCTGTTTCCATCGCACCGTTTGTCAAACAACCTTCTAGCATTCCCCTGTAAATCCAAAGAACATAATAAATATATGACCTATCCCTAATGCAGACAAATATCTAAATTAATGTGAAAAGAATAAAACTGCTTGACCAACATATATTTAGGGAAAATAGGGAATTGACATTTTAACTGCAAGAAGTTACTGGGTTTATAGTACAAGAAGCGTTAAAAATCACCATTTTCATCTACAACAAGCTGTATACCTTTTCTTTTTAACTTCGTCACAAAGCTCCAATAATTCAAGAGGAAACTTTCCCTGCTTGGCCCCAATTTCTATAACTCATTTTTCATCAAACTCATTTTCAGCCACACAGTTCATGGGACCCACAACTTTTCAACCACACATTTCATCAACTTTTATCAAAATCTATTATATAATCTGATTTTTTGGGCTAAATTTCCATGCGTAATCAGTTCTAGTAATTTTCTGCATTCCCTCAACGTATCCCAAACAAAACAAACTCCATTTGGCCTCAAAAGCTCAGTTATGAATTTCCAACCAATCAGGAATTTCCTTCATGAATTCTAAAACAGTAGCTTCCTTGAATCTGTCCAGAAATTGGGGAAGAACGAACTCTTTCCCTCCCTACCCCCACCCCCCTCCCCCTCTTGACAACAAAAAACCTCGTGAAAGAAAGAAAATGAGTAAATACGCACACCCAGTTTTTTTGAATGATTTATTCTCAAAAAAAAATTTCAAGATCGTTTCCCTATTGTCATGCACGAGGTTGGACAAGTGGAGAACCAATATTTTATATAATTATTTACAGAGACACTTTGCACGCAACTCAACTGTGAAAGAGTATTGTTGTTCATAAGTTGTGCTTGGCCATCAATAATCTATGTGGCAGCTTATAACTGCCACATCCTCCTATAAAATTGGAATAAATTTTAATTCATTGGAGAATGTTGCAGTGACCATGAACACTCTTGATGAATAGCATTATTCACTGTGAAATGAACGTGATTATGTTTTCCCGATATGCCTACCAGAATAAAAACAAAGTATGTACTTACAAACTTAATGATAGTAAATCTGCAATTAGCGATGCAATTTCATAAGCATGTCTCAAGTACTCAAATCCCATATATACAGGGAAAAGCAAGAATAACTAAATTTATAAAATATTATTAAACCTCTGTTTGGGAAGAATTTATAAATAGATAGAAACGAGTGGTGCATAAGTGGATAGTACTTGTAGATCCATTGGAATGTATGGGTGAAAATGAAGTTTGATTGTATAAAAATGATTAAAATAATTTCACCAAACGGAGACTAAATATAGAACACTAGGAAAATGTCCTTAAATTAGACGAAGTTGTCTACTTTATATAATAGAGCCACAGGAGCTAATAAATGCAAAGAAGAAAAGATGAGAAACACAAAATCTTTTGCTCAAAGGAAAGAGAGAAAAAAATGTTTCCAAAAGCTCTATGGGCTTTATCATAATACATACAGACTAGTTCCCAAACTAAGAGTAAACAATACAATAATGGAAGTGGTTATATCCAACAAAATTTTAAGTATCACAAGATCATGGGGACAGGACGATAACTCTAGGACAATTAAGAATTCTGAAAAATTGTTGGTTTCTGTAACTAAAAACAAACTCCCTGACTTCAATGATAGCACTACACATAAGCAAGGACAAAATTATTTAGATACGATTTGTAGCTCCACTAATTAAGTTCCAACTGACTGAGAATACAAGAACTGCAAGATTAAGGAATACCTACAAGGAAAAAGGCGACTTGTCTGTGATTCTTATCAGAAGCAAGCTGTGCAGGTGTGAGACCAGTATTATCTGCTACCATCAGATCTTCCTTCTTCCCAGCTTGCACCAGCACAGTGCATGCTTCTAAATTACCCCTAATAGCAGCCCAGTGGAGAGGGGTACAACCTAAATGACAAAATGTATGTGAAATTTTTGAATTAAGATATAATAACATAAAATTTCGATGACATCAGTTACTCTTTAAAAATTATGAAAACGTCAGAAACACAGAAAAGTTATGGAATATAGAGCTTTTGAACTTACCTTCCTTGTCCTGACGTCCCCTATATGCATCTAGAAATAGCAAAAGACGTATGCAGTCCGCAAAGCCCTTGTATGCAGCCCTACAGAGTGGAAGAATACAATAAAAATTAAGAAGCTATAATAACTACTTCAAGTCTGGTCATTATATAAGTAAATGCACAAGATGGCCCATGTAAAAATCACTGGCAAGTTTTTTGACCGAGAAGAAGAAGAAGAACAGGAAAAAATTGCAGCATATCTATTTTAATCAAGTAAATAAATCATATTGCTGTGATCCTGATTTGGGTGGAATCTATGGATCAAAAAAAGGTTTAAACAAAGCCGTACGGCCATTATCCTTGATGAATGTAATTTACTCATCGAACTAGCACCTCTAAATCATGGTTTTTGGTTTGTTTTTGAGCATTTTGAGGTGTGTGTTTGTTTTATTTTGTAGTTTAGACAACTTAGATAAAATGGCATTTTTCGGAGCTTGAAATATAGCTAAAGTGTCATGGAAGTGGGGTCGGAATGGAGATGAAAGGAGGGAAAAATGAAGTGAAAAAGAAGTTAACGCACAAGCAAAGGAGGCAAAGCAGTACATGGGGCACTATGCGCCGCATCTAGGTGCCCAAAATCAAAGAAACTAGCAGAAGGCTGGGGACCAGGAAGAAAGGCAAGTAGAACCGCTGGCTCTCCGTTGGACACTGCGACGCCAGCAACAAGATTGTCGTGGCGTCAGCACTGCTACCGAGAAAGAGAGAAATCAAATTTTTTTTTTTTTTTTATATCTTTTCGGCTTGGTCTAACTCCAACTCGTCTTGACACATTAGGTAGTGTAAATACGAACTTAAAGACCTAGATTGGGGTGAAGACGGCTCGAGGAAAAAGGAGACAAAAGAGATCAATTGAGAGGAAGAACGACCACAAACTGGGAGAAGAAGTCAAGCGGCAAATGAATTTTGCTTAATCTTTCTTTTCTATGTTCTTTCCTTTGTATTTGATTATATGTTTATATCAATCATGAACTAAATTCTAAATCTAGGGTTGATGTAACCTAATTTGAAACATATTTGAATTCTAATATAGTTATTTCCGTTGATTTTTTCATTAATTTATTTGTGTTTATTCTTGTGTAATGCTTTCAATTACCTGATCAATAATTAAATGATTTGATGCTTTAATCTCGGCACTCGAGAGAGTAAAATGTAGGTGTAATCTAAGAACAACGTAATCTTGATTTTGTGGATTTTAAAAGTATGAAATCTTTGAGGCTTATTTCATTTAAGAACCACGTACTTGATAAGTTATGTTTCATTTGGAATAAAGACATTGGAATTAAAGAATAGAGATAAATTCTATTCGGCACTCAAGAGAGAGAATAAAATTATACCAGGCTTCTTGCCTATAAATTTAGGAAAATTTGATAGAAATAACAGGAGAAGTTGAAAAATTGTGTTGATAGAATAGTGAAATCATTCCCTAGGGCTTTCTCACTCAGATAAATCTCTTATAAATCACATAAAATTGCTTGAACTGTCATCACATCCACGTTAGATTAGAATAAAAACATCGATTCTAAATTTGATTGTCTAGATAAAGTAAAAGCTAAAATAATCATAGTATTTAGTAGAAATCAGATATTAATCCTTATGGGTTCGACACTCTATTTCCAATTTTATATTACAAAACTTAACACCGTACATTTGTTGTATAAATCACGTTATTAGAAAACGCGTGACAATTCTACACTAAATAACTGATCAAGCAATCATAGACTGATATTTACTAATACAAAATTCAAGGTGCAAAGCAAAAGCACAATTACAAGTTCACCATTAAGTTAAACGTACTGAATAGCAATTATAATCTATCATTTAGCACTAGTTATGATTAAAAGCCTAGTCTGCTATTCTTTTAAAGAAATTAGAGAGTAGGAATTGCATTTCAAAAAAAATTAAACTCAAGAATACATTTCATTCTCCCAACCAAGAAGAACTGCAGATAAAAAAAATATGATTAAAATTCCTGCATAGAAGCCCACAAGAAAACCAAAAAAACTATCCCATAGATCACCAAGCCATTGTTCTTTTCCTTCAAAAAGTTTGGAATTCCTTTTTGTCCATGTTATGATTAAAATTAACTCCCAAAGGGTTGGTTCAAAAAACAAATATTAAGTTAAAGGATATTTATATTGTAATGCCAATTAACATAATCTAGAATCACAGATACTGGAAGTAAAATGCAAACCAAATTTACTCTAATAATGAACTACTGTAGAAAATAACGATTACATTTGTCAAGTACCAGTGCAAAGGGCTTCTTCCATCATTGTCGGGAATGTCGGGATCTGCATTCCATTTTGTAACAAGGTGATATATGAAAGCTGTCTGACCATATTGTGCAGCAACATGTGTAGTCTGCAGTTAAAGTGAGTGTGACAATGCATCTACATTAGCAAGTTCTCAGCAACTTAAGTGCTTAAAATTTACAAGGAAAAAAGGGGAAAAGAGAGAGAATGCTGAAAAGGTCAGGAACACAGCCATTTCTTCTTTCTTTCCTTTAGCTGAATAGGAACTAAGGCCACTTCCAGTGAAACAATTTTTGTGCAAGAGCTACCTAACAATTTATTGGCTGGAATAAGAATCCAGCCACTGGAAAACACATTGACCTTAAGGACACAAAACAAATGTGACACGAGAACTGTTTTGGAATTGAGGGTATGTTATTGTTGCTCTTATTACTACACTTCTTCATTGTGGTTTGCATGATTCAAGTCATAAATCAGTTCTCTTATCTAAAGTTTGCAACCAATTCTCGTTTGCTTACAATTGAATTCGACTGCATTTTATCATAATCTGTTTCATGATATATTTACTTTCCATTGCGATTTTACTACTAATTATACAGTAACAAATTCTTTATCACTGAAGGTAGCTCCGCCTCCTGACATTTCAAAGCACGTCAAGTTTACTTTATCTGTCATTAGTCTACACATAGGACTCAACTCACGATTCTTAGTTTGGTGTCAGTCTTGTAAACCCACCAGTCTGGATGGTGTGTCAAGAAGGGAGAGAGACAATATTAATCGCACATATAAGTAATAAAGCATCCTGAAATTTCTTGACAAGTTACTAGGAAACTTTCCATGTCATAATAACAATCCTGTCAAAATAGTCGTTGATCAGATTTCAAATTTAACAAAACTTATCTGTATTTGCATGATCCTCTATCTATCTGATGTACACCAACATGCAAATTTTAGTGTCTATGTATGGGAGATAATGAGCTTTGGTGGATCATCTGAGGGTGGATGGAATTAAGGTCCCCCAAGCTTCAAAATATAACGTAAAAAGAAACATATATCCCAGAACAGCCATTGATGAGAAATTAACAAAACATTTGTGGCCAATATCTCTCACCATTAGACGCTGTACAAAGGCCCTAAACATGAGGTTAGACATGTTCGTCAGCAGCCAAATTATGCTTAGCGAAGAAAACTATAAATTTGAAACCTCACTACATGAAGTAACAGAGAGAATGGGCAAAAATTATGACAGTAAATGGACTAGGACGACTAATATGACTTGTGTCAAGTCTTCAGGAATGTACATAACAGCAACAGCGAGTATTGACGTACAAGAAATAGAAAAAAGACATGAAGATGGTACAAAAGTGCATATGTATGACAATACCAAACATTTAAAAGCAGAAAAAGAGTAGAAACAAAAGGAGGATGTTTATACCCCCAAGAGGAAGTACTACTGACAGTAAATTGCCGAAGATGTTAGAAACAACAATATTCATGGAGCTAATCATCATAACTGACATATCCACCATTCCGGCACTATTCTAGAGAGTATAATTCCCACACAAGGAAAAAGTAGAATGGTGCAGTTTATTATTGCATTATATTTCTATGAAATAACATACTCTCCATCGATAGATTTACACCACCACTATCCAACCAGATCATTAATTGCTAATTTGTGATGAAGAGGCGGGAATATAAACAAACCTGATAGCCATACATATCAGCGGCATTGACCCTGGCACCCTCTTGCAACAGAAGCTCAGCAACTTGGATTGCACCCCTCACGGCACTCCAGTGCAGAGCCGTCTGGCCGGTATGGTCTGCCGCATTAACATCAGCTCCATGCTGTCAAGTATAAACCACAATGTATCAAAATAGAAAACAACTGACCAGGAAATGTGAGAGAGAGAGAGTGAGTCATATTGACTTCACACCTTCATTTACAGATTGCAAAGTAACTCATATCCTATCTTCAAGAATCTACTCTTCAGTTACTCAGGTCACGTGTTAGCAGGTAATATTTTAAACAAATTTATATTATACAACTAGACGTTAAGTTATTCTTTAAATACAATGCTCCCTACAATTTTCTTTCCGCTACGTGGGAAATTTACTTCTAATAGCTTAGTTACAGAATCTTACTCAGCTCAACAAAATACAAATTTGAACTGAGATACATATTCACCAAGCAATTAATTTCTCAACGACGTCATTAACTCCCAATATACAAGCACAAATGACAAACCCAGAACCGTGTGTGTATATACAAATGTTAGTGCACCTCGACGATGTATTGGGCGGCGGCAGTTCGGTTATTGAGGGCGGCCCATTGAAGAGCGAAGTAACCAAGGGCGTCAGGCTCAGAAACGGAGCAACCCTCGCCCTCAACCAGCCGCTGCAGCTTCTCCATGTCCCCATAAGCCGCCGCCGTGTAGACATCATTCCGGAGGCTATCATCCTCCACCACCACCTCCGCCGCCGTCTGCTTCCGATCTCCGGATTCCACTTCTTCCACCACCTCGATCTCCGATGCCATATCAAATATTCCAAATTGGGAATTTTTTTCTTGGGAAATCAGAAGATTTTTCAAAGCAACGAATTGATCAACAATACATCCCTACAAACATATGTATATATCTGTATAATTGACCAAAGAATTTATTTATAATTAAGGGTTTTTCCTGGAAGGGGAGGGAGTTGACTGGATTGGTATAATGAATTGAAGAAACAGCGAAAGGCAGAAGAATCCAACTCCCGCTGCGATTCACTTATTTGTTCTCGTTGGACAATAATTTCATGAACAAATGGGCTAGAAATTTAAGTAAATTTTAAAATTTTATTTTATCATACTGAATTAGAAGAGTTAGCCCATTTGTCTCCCATTGATTGGTTTTTTAATTTTTGAAATAATATTTTTTTGAAGAATGTATATTTGAGAAAATAAAGGAAAAATTGTTTGTGTAATATTATCTCACAAAAGATTCTATGATTGAAAATAAAAAAAAAAAGATAAAAATTATAATGTGAAATAATTGGCCAAACTAGAGCTTAATTGTCCCAATAATCACTAACATCTTATTTGTGAGTAATTTTTTGGTCCAAAAAAATTAATTTTTTTATCGTTATTTTACTATTTCAGTTGTTATATTTGATTTCTTCTCTCATGGATTCCACTTTTCTCCTAACAGTAAAAAAAATCAATTCTCAAAATTACTCCCAAACAGGCTCTAAACAACTTACGTTCCTATCTCTAATTACTCACTAAAGTTTAAATTATCAACTTTTGATCATTAAATTTAGGAAAAATTGCAATCAAGATACCATATATTTTCGTTTATTAACAAACTTGACCTAAACTTTTTGTTTGTGTCACCGGAAATATCAAATCTTTGAAAAAATTGCACATTGAGTCCTAATGAATGGAAATTATTAATTTGATTGTTATTGACCCCAAAAAATAATTTTCATCATATTTACAAATGGCAAAATGATAATTTAATAATATTTCCACTTAAACAATTAAAACATGAAATAAAAAGGAAGAAAAGAAAAATAAAAAAGGGTCAACTCCTTCACCATCAACACCTCCACACCCTTTCCCACTCTAATTCGTAAGAATCAGCCATTCCTACAGTCACCCAACATCGATATCACCGATAATGACAACCACTACCACCACCAGAGAAATTCCACCAATCGTCAGCACCACCGACGATGACCACCATCGCCAGAGAACAATTCACACTCTTAATTACTTTCGAGATTAAATAGTCTAAAACTTTTCACCATTTAGTGGAATTTCACTTTTTATTGAATTATTCGCCACTAAATTCCTCTAAATTCAACATATTCCCAAGATTATCGTGCAAATAATTGAAAATTAAATTTCCAGAAACATCTAAGACTCTTAATAATATTGAAAAATTGGTTAAAAAAATATGAAAACACACCATTTATTTCATTCACGTGGTTTAATTCCTCAACACACTCGAATACTTACTGAATTTGGGGAAAGTTCTGAATCGGGCAAATTATTATTGGATTTATCAAAGGATAGAGCCTCAAATAAAGCTTGTTTTGCCATATGAACAGTAATCATTAAAGTTTAGAGATAAAAAATATATAGACAAAGATGGGAATCCCTGTGATATTCAAAAGGCTAGTGGTTGTTCTGAAGAAACGACGGACCTCTGAGTTTTGTGGAGCGTGGACAACCTGGAAGTTTTAATTGCAACCACAAATTTTGGGAGTTCTCTTATCAACCCATTTCAATTCTTATAAAGTATATTGTTTTATTTTATGGTAGTGATGGCAATGAAAGCGGTGGTGGTGGTGGTGGTGGCACCAATGTTGCCTAGTGGTTTTAGCGTTGACCACTGCTTCTAGTGGTGGCGTAAAGGGGTGGAGGAAGAACAGGATGGTGTTGGATGGTTTTTGTTTTTATTTTTTATCGTTTGATTATTAATTTATTATAATTGTGTTTTTTGTTGAAAAAATGTAAAGCTATCATTTTATCCTTTTAAATTAGTCAAATTTATGGTCAATGTCAATTCTTTGGCCAACTAACAGTCAAATTAACGGTTTTTATCTATTTGGACTCCATATGTATTTTTTAAAGGTTTAGTACTTTGGGTGGCACAAAAGAAAGTTTTGGGTCAAGTCTACCAATAAACAAAAAGCTTAGTACCCTTACTGCAATTTTTTCCCTAAATTTATCCAAATGTTGCATGTTACTCACTGACACATTATCTGTTTCAAACCTCTAATAAAATTGGTGATGAGTAGTATTCAATGTTGAATAAGTTCAGTGAACAATCAAAGACACAAATATAAATTCAGTGATTATTGGGACAATTGACTCGAGTTAAAATCACTTTTAGAATAAATAACTTTTACTTATTTGTAAGGTTTAATTAATCGTTATTGTTAAAGTTATTTTTCAAAGTAGTCATGTTAGAATAATATAATGTTCCCAAAAATAGTCACACTTTTGAGTTATTATGATTTTAAAAGATTGTAAATAGAATACTTATTGTAAAATCATGTCACAGCCCGTCAAAATTGACTTAGCTGGAAAAAAAAATCAACATTTGAATTAATACAAGTATTGACTCCTAATTTCTTTTTAGCCTCGATATACTTTGATACACCACATTTTTAATTATAGTTAAACTTTTCAATCTTTGTTTATTGTAGTAATTATTTCTTTAACTTTTTTCATGAATTTTTATTTTCCACGTTCCATTAATTATTACGTCTTGTCCTTAATGATAATTTATATCAAAATATTTTATTTTCATGTTTTGAAAATGAGGGAGAACTATTTTTTTCGCAATTTTTATTTATTTATTTTTAGAAATATGATGAAAAAAAGTTATTTTACGTCATTTTAACAAATTTTTGGACATAAAATTATTATCAAATACAAAATGTGCTAATTCTTTGAAAGTTTAAAGATAAGAATAACATGAAAATTGTTAGGGATATAAGTGTTATAATGAACAAAGATTAAAAATCTTAATTGCAATTAAAATGTTGTGCAAGAAATAAAAAAAAATTGTGGTGTGAACTACACCATATTTTAATTGCAATGAACATTCTCAAACTTCACTCATTTTTGCAATTATATTTCCATCTTTTAGCACAATCTTACATCGAACCTTCTATTAATTTACACATCTTGCCTCTAATGATAGTTTCAATTCAAAAAATTCGTTATAATTGTATAAAAAGTCTTATTTGCCTATCTCGTTTTTAAATAAACAAATAAATAACTAATACAAAGTTTGATAAAATATTTCTCTCTCACTTCTAAACAGGTTAGGGGAAAACTTTAATTTCATTGTAATTAAATTGTGTATTATAAATAAAATTACCATTTCAATATAGCAAACTCCAAACCCAATATTTTCTCAAAACAATGGACATTTATGTATTTTTAGCATCTCATGATTTTTATAAATGCATTTTTGTGTGTAATGTGAATTGACACATTTCACATTTTTTTAATTGAAATTGTATTTTACTCGTTGTGACAGTCATCTCGCAAGTCGTTGACAAATCAGCGAGCAAACAAATCAATAAGTAGCTCGCATGGGAAGTCGTTGCTCGACTTGTGAGTAGGTGAGTCAATGAACAACTCGTCACACTTAGCACCTCTAGTTTTAATTGATTGAACCTAAAGAATCAAAATTGAATAAAATTCTAATATTATTTTTTTCTCAATTAAACCAACTATAAAATAATTTTATATTAATTTTCGAATGTACATTACTACACACACACACACACACATGCTTAGTTGAACTATTAGAACTATATACTTTGCGATGCTTGATTATATGCCCAAGCTTCTTCAACTCGATGATTCCCATTTTCCAGTGCTTAAATATGATCGGAGCGGTTGCTTTCTTCAGCCAGTTAAGTTTAATTTCTCTTTTCTAATGGTTGCAATTTTTCCAAAAAAAAGTAGCTGTAGTGAAATTTGAAATCTTGCTCTCAGCATCCTAGTTTTTGTACAGGTAATTGATTGTGCTAACCTGTTCAATAAACCTGAAATCACACAATGTTTCAAATCTCAGAGCATGGTTGACAAGTTTGCTTATGATTGAATTAATAGTTTTTAAAAGAATTTTTTCATGGATGAAAGTTGAAAATAAGTTATTAAAATAGAACAAAGTAGTTATTTTGGCAATGTTCCCACCATTGAAAGCAAAAGCAATGTAGAACAGAATTAAGAATTGCTTTGTTCTTTTTTTTTTCTACTTATCACTTGAATCTTAGATTCCGTTTGATTGTAAAGATAAAATTTGGGTGGGAAGGAATTGAATTATCTAGAAATTATTTTCCTGAAAATTGTAAATTATTGTGTTTGATTAGTATAATTTTTCACGTGAAGAATGTTGAAATAAAAGTATTTTTTGTGTTCGTTTGACTTTATTTTACATGAAAATTATCTATTAAAAGGCTAAATTTTATTGGTATTGAAAATGAAATTTGTTTCCATTGTAAAAATAATAATAATAATAATAATAATAATAATAATAATAATAATAATAATAATAATAATAATAATAATAAAATCAAAAAAATCATCTATCTTTTGATGTTCGTTTGATTTTGTTTTATATAAAAATTATCCACTAAAATGAAAGAATTTGTTACAATTATTAATAAAATTTGTTTCCATTGCCAAAATATTTTTTAAAAAAAAATTTAAAAAAGCCAACCTGAAAAATGAAAAACCACCTAATACATGAGAAAATGAATTTCTCCATTTCGTGGAAAAGGTGCACGTGAGGCTGAAAGTTGGAATTTCAATTACCTAGAAAATTGATGCCATCAAACATATTTCATGGAAAAGTTGCCATATCAAACATGGCCTTACATTCATAAAAGTTGACATATACTTTGTTTTTAATAGTAGTTGAAAATATTATATCATTAAATTTCATGATTATAATAATAATTGTTCCGACTTCTGAGCTTATGGTCTTTGTCAATAATTTTTTTTCCTCAAAATATTGAAATACTCACACATCTTTTTCATCCCGCGGGTGATGACCAACAGTCTGTTTGGAAGTGATTTTTTGCCCAAAAAATTGATTTTTTATCATTACTTCACCATTCCAGCCACCATATTTGATTTCTTCTTTCATGGGTGGACCACACTTTTCTCTTAACGGTCAAAAAATCAATTCTCAAAATCACTCCTAAACAGGCTTTAAGTCATTTCAGAAAGTTTCCAGTACCAATTCAACTTGTATCTGGCATTTCATGTGCTGGATCAATGCATATTTTAATCAATTCCAATTG